ACTGTGCAACGTTCCAACCACACTGAACCAAAACATCATCCTAGCATCGAATGATTATTGCCTCACTCAAGCCCTATAACTATTATCAGACGATTTTGAGATGATCGTCTGTTGGAATATGAATAAATCAAATGACAATCATCCATTTGATTGACATTCATTTTAGATTGATTTGCCAAAACCAAAGTAGTCATAAATCAAACATAAAATCATATAATCGATAATCGATTATTTTCAACTAATAATAAAATGAAATTATATGATGGAACTTCGGATGAAAATCAGGTTCAAAACATCAAGCCATATTTTACAATTTATTTATGATTATATTATTTACAATCTGTGATTTAAGCTGAGCTGGGTCCTGAAAGACGAATGATGATGGCGAGGTAGAGCCAACCGAGGGGCAAAGATGTTTTTTTTTTTTTTTTAATAATTCGTTTATTTTTCCAGGCTCATTTGCTGTAGCTTTGCGGAGCCGATATTCATTGTTTAGATAACAAAATTACTTAAAACTAACGTTAGTAAAGCGGGGGCCGATTACTCGCGGCTATCTCGAGGTTAGGGGTAACAAATTGTAACAAATGGATGGCAGGGTAGGGATTGTGAACACAAGGTTTGGAGAGCAATGTGCTCTTGATCTCGAACTAGGCGACACTCTGATGAAAAAGACAAACATGGGGGTACACCGATGGGTAGCTAACAACTTGGGAGAACACAAGATGACACTAACTTCTAAATCCTCAAATCTATCCGTTTTAAAAACACATAAATTAAATTCAAATAGTCAAGGTCTCGGCTCGCCAAGACGCCCAATTCGATAGAAGTGCGAGTCTAACGAGCAGTGATTGGACATAAGCCTTGATATAACGCGTATAAAGTCGCGGCTCATGTCCAACCCTTTGAACCATGGTTTGTTCGACACCTGTGGGAGAATAGAATGTAACCATCTTCCCAATTCACCATCATTCCATTTTTGTTGCCAACTGATGAGGACTTGCTGGCGAGCAATGGAGAAAAATTCGTTGAAGGCGATTTGTCGCTCAAAAATATCGCCTTCCATAGCGCCCACCTTAGCCAATGAGTCCGCTTTCTCATTACCCGGAATTGAGCAATGAGATGGGACCCAAGCTAAGGTGATAGTATAGGAGCAGTTAGATAAAGCACTCAGTTTAGATCGTATTTCAGGCAGGAAATACATGAGGGGCAAAGATGTTATTATTCAGCAGATTGATATTGGCTTCGTAGACCTCCCAGGTGTTGTCAAGGAGCTCTCTCTGGAGCGGTCGTGGGTCGTTTGGGAGAAACGTCTACCTGTCGATTATTCGCGCGCTTTCGGGAAATACGCATTTATTCTGCAGCCGTAAGTTAAGACATTCAGGCGTAGCATTTGATAACGGCACAAAAGCATTTGTAAACAAACTTTCTAAGGCCCTTTACGCCGAGTGCCGTTATCAAATGTTACGATTGACATATCACTGATTTTCAAAGTTGCACTATTTATCAATAAACGCTTATTTTACTTCCATTCGAAATTGATTCTGAAGTTCACTTTAAATCAAACCCCAAAGGCCGGTTCAAATATTACGTAACGCTCAAAGGAGTGGGGGTGGATCAGAATTTAAGGGGTTGTTACGTAATGTTGTTAATATGAAAAATATAGTTTTATATGCAAAAAATTCCTGTTACAGGTCGTCGGAAGTTAAACTTATTACGATTCGTTATAGGTGGTGAGTAATGGAATCATTTTCTGAAAAGGTAAACGAAAGAATTATAAATTCCTACAACAGTAGCTGTCCTATCAAACGGTCGTCTTCTAACAGGGATGTGCCGTGGTGGAATTTGAAATTAGAACGCCTTCGGAAAGTTTCACGTAAGATGTTCAATAGGGTGAAAATCACTTCTGATTGGACTCACTATAAGAAAACCCTATCTGAATATAATAATCAAATACGGAAATCTAAGAGGCGATCTTGGATTCGAATGTGTGAAAATATAAACAGTACTCCTATAGTCGCGAGAATACAGAAAACTCTTGCGGAAGACCATACGATTGAACTTGGTAATCTTAAATGTCATGATGGAGGTTTTACCAAATCTCCCTCTGAAACTTTAAATTTAATTAACACATTTTCCAGGTTCGGTATTGTGTGTGGAATCAGATATTTCTGATTCTGTTGGGGAAATGTGTTCTATAGAGACCTCGCCAGTGTCTCAGAGAACAGAAAACACCATACCAGATATAGCTGATGAAATTTTCACAATTGCCACAGTGGAGATCTTTTCAGCCTTTTAAATCTGCGGGTGTGGATGGCATATTCCCGGCACTACTTCAAAACGGTGAAGCAATGCTGATTCCGTCTTTAACTAAGATTTATAAGGCGAGTTCAAGATTAAACTACATTTCATCAAAATGGAGATTGGTAAGAGTTATATACCGAAAAACGGGAGGCGTGATAAAACGCAGCCAAAAGCATTTAGGCCCATTAGTCTCTCATCAATTTTACTGAAGACTATGGAAGAAGTGTTGAATGACTTCATCAACTCAACTTACATGTTAACGCATCCAATATCTAATTTTCAGTTTGCGTATCAATCTGGAAAATCAACAGTTACCACTCTCCATACTTTAGTAACAAAAATCGAACTTCCAGTTAAAGAAATCGCACTTGGTTCTTTCTTGGCTATTGAAGGAGCTTTTGACAACGCATCCTATTCTTCTATGGTTGACGCCATGAAGAAAAGGAACTTCGACACGCACATCGTCAACTGGATTCATACTATGCTTGCAAAAAGAAAAGTCACTTCTGGGCTGTGAAGCTCATCTATAACAGTAAAGGCAACGAAAGGCTGTTCTCAAGGAGGAGTCCTCTCACCACTAATGTGGTCTTTAGTTGTAGATGATGTTCTAAGAAGCCTAGAGGCGAAAGGTTTCGAAGTTGTGGGCTTTGCGGATGATATAGTCATCGTAGTTAGAGGAAAGTTCGACGCTATCATTTCAGAAAGAATGCAACAAGCTCTAAAGTTTACCCAATCTTGGTGTATTAAGGAGGGCCTAAACATTAATCCGTCAAAAGTAGTAATCGTTCCTTTTACTAGAAAGAGGAAGTTCAACCTAAAGGAGTTCAAGCTTGGAGGAGAACAGATCCATCTTAGTTAACAGGTCAAATACCTAGGAGTTATATTGGATGCCAAGTTGAATTGGAATGCTCAGATTGATTCTGTGATCAACAAAGCAACCAGTGCCGTGTGGTTATGCTCCATTTTCTACTGTTGGTAGAAAATGGGGTTTGAAACCAACAATGACAATGTGGATTTACACATCAGTAATCCGTCCAAAAGTAACTTATGCTTCGTTAGTGTGATGGCCAAAACCGAAACAGGCTACCGCACAGAGGAAGCTGGCAAAACTACAACGTCTAGCATGTCTTGCTATAACGGGTGCGATGCGCAGCACCCCATCAAAAACGTTAGATGCAATTCTCAATCTACTGCCCTTGCATGAATACGTGCAACTAGAAGCGGAAAGAATTGCTCTAAGGCTCAAAAGGTCTAAAAAAGTCATGCCTGGTGAGCTGGTTGATCACCTAAGCATTTTACAATACTTCCAAAGAGGACCAATGATGAGTATGAATGGAGACTGGATGAAACCAGAGGACAATTATGACACTCCCTTCAACGTATGTGAAATGTTACGTTCGGATTGGGAAGTCAGTGGTTCTAGCGTTCGTCAAGGCTCAATCATATTTTTCACAGATGGCTCAAAAATTGGAACACAAACAGGTGCAGGAATCTTTGGCCCTGGGACAAATATTTCAGTAGCGATGGGACATTGTCCAACAGTGCTTCAAGCGGAAATCGTGGCCATACTTGAATGTGTAAGTGGAATATCAAACTGTACGGTAAAAATGGAACTCAAACGCTGGGAAGAACAAAGGGTGATGGCCAACTGGATGGCCGTCACGAAGTGCAACCAGTCGAAAAGATTTATAACTCCAAATGTAACACATACCAAAAAGCTCTTGGAGCTCAATAAACGGGCTCTTAGTATATACACTAGCCTTGTAACTGGGCACTGTCCTAGTAGATATCATTTGAAGAACATTGGTCGGGTTCAGAGCGATATCTGCCGTTTCTGAAGCATAGAACGTGAAACCTCGGAACATCTGCTCTGCAGTTGCGGTGCATTACACAGACGTAGATCTAAATTTATCCTTAGTGTTATCTTACAACCTAGTGGAATTTGGTCTGCTAATCCTGGAAAGGTAGTTGGTTTCATAAACCATATCATACCTGACTGGGAAAGGACGTGTCCAGGCAATTAGCTGTCCACTCATTAAATGGTGGTCAGCTTGCATGATACGAACAGTAAACAGGGGTACCACAAAAGTTCAAATAATGGACGCAGTGGTTCAACTCCCCCCAACAAAAAGAAAACAAAAAAAAAGTGAGTAATAATATTGTAGTCTCACTGAAAATCGGTTAAATGTATGGTTCTGATAAGGATCGATGGTTTGATCCGAATCAAAAGTTGGAGATACTGCTGCTGCTAGTTGTTCAGGCGATCTGTCCACCACTTCCGATGCGAAAATGGGCTTCGGTACCACGACATCGTTCTTAATTTAAAACTTATCCCACACCTACCCAATATCATCCGATCGACTCTCCACAAGTCAGGAACATTTCATTTGAAAACTGGAATGTTTAACAATAGTAAGTTGTTGTTTATAAATAAACATTAAGCTGTTTCATTTAATTTTGGAGGTCTGGCTTTTTTTTCCATAGCATTTTTTTAGAAGACATTTTGAAAAATCATTGAAAAATGTTGATGGGGTTTAATTTTAATTTAAATGATACATGAAGACAGTATTATAAACTTACAATTCCATGCACAAACTCCTATAAATATTTACGGAATCGCATATATCAACGCACTATTGTTAGGCTGACCTTCTTGCCCCTAGTTCCCCTACAGCCGTTAAACGGGATTTTTTTTAAATCAAAATTCAGTTTAAACCCTGCTATACATCAAAATCGAAACAGAACGGTACTATCGATCCACTAGACTCGAATAGGAATTACCTTCGGATTAGCAGCATACAACTGTAATTGCAAACAAATACTTAGTACAATACACGAATCCAAAATCTCATTTATTCATCTTAATTCCCAATCTCACACCTGACTAGTTCGCTACAAATCTCAAATGCATTCTCATCGCCCCCCGGCAGCAGCGAGGTCCGATCCACTCACAAGCCACCATTGGTCAGTCCCACCACCAGCGACATTTGGGCAAAGGTCCTCTGATCGGAGGTATCGTCCAGTATCCTGGGCCGCTGCTGCGGGTAGCGATCCTTATGTCGCATCCTCTGATTCGCCCATCGATCCATGAGCTTCCCGGAAGCACAAGTCCGCTTCCAACCGAGCGTCTGTGCCGGCTTGTAGTAAACCTCGGCCACCTCGGTGGGGAACAATAGCGTGATGACGTGCGCGTAGTGACGCATCAACCGGTGGGAAAACATTATGTTGTACACCAGGAATTGCTCCACAATGCAGTGGGTGAGAGCGGCTTGAATTTTTCGATTCATCGATTGGTAGGTACCGTAGTAGGACAGAACCCACTGGCCTTGGCGGCTGGCTTGGAGTAGCTGTCGCAGGCCGTCCACCGAAATGCGAATCGGGAGGTTACCCGCCAAAGCATTGGCAGTGGTTGCCTTGATTGCCATTGCATCCTCGAATGAAAGGTCATGCAACGGAATGGCTTGATCCGAGGCTTCCAGTGATTGTTCCGGCTCGAGAAGTGATGTCTCCGCTAGTGGATCATCACTGTCTTCCAGTTTTATCTTTTTCAGCACTTGATGCGGCTGCTGGTGCAACAGATCTTGATGACGAGCGGGCGGCTGTTGCTCATCGAGCTTGTTGCTAAAACTCAGCTCCGACGAACAATGACGCCTTTTACGAGCACCTACGATTTGCAGCAGTGCACTCGCCTGTAGCTCTTTCACTTTGTGCTTGAAGACAATCTTCTGACCCAGCATCCGAGCGTCGTTAAACAGTTCATTTATCTCAGCGTCTTGTATCACCTCCAGACATCGCGCCGTGATGCCACAATCTACAATTCAAAACGAGTCCCGCTTTAATACATCATAGAGCTATATACTGTTCAATCGCGGGAGAGATCGAGCTATAAACCCAGCAAGAGAGCATGCGCACTCGAAAGGTTACATGTTCAAAACGACGTTCTCGATTCGATTATACTTACAAATCATTCTGTTCAATGAACTCCTTTGCATTCCCCACTCGTTTATGATCGTCTTCTCTAGCTCCAGACAGTCGTACTCGTCCATCGGTTCGATTTCGATGCCTTCCGGTTCCAGCGAATCTTTGTCGCTCATTTTGATCGACTTCCACTTCTTCAATGCAATCAAATGTATTCAAACTAATAAAGTGCCAATGCTCCACTCTCATCCGACGACAACACCACGGCCGGACAGCGGGAAAATCACTTCTAACCAGTTTGCCAGTCAAAATGAAAATGGCTGAAAAACTCGACACACAGTCAGACTGAACTGGTACATGCGTCAAAGTGAACGTGAGAGACATGTTAATAACTGTTCCGGCTATATGTATGTAGCTACGTTGAATAGTACTTATGAAGGGGCTATTCAACTTGTTATAGCATTTCGTTCTCGGATCTTTCTCTCTTTCTCTCTCTCTCTCGCGTCGCTCGGTTTTCATAGATCTCATAATCATATTTATAATGTTGTGGTACCACACTGTCGTGTGTTTATGTGCATTAGCAATACGGGGCCAGCAGCAGCAGAGCTCACAGATAGAGAGAGAGAGAACCACCGGGAATGGTTTGTTGGTAAATCGAATCGGGTGGAAAACGTGTTTTCTTCTAAACCGGAGATGCACACACTGAGAAGGAGAGCGAATAGGGAGTGCATCTTAAATTGCTTGTACTGCCACCGGTGCTCAGGATTTGTTTACGTTACTTTCGGTCGGTACTGGGAGTCTCGCCGAGCCGGTAGCAGCACAGGGACGTTGGAAAGATTTTGAATATGAGCTGTAAGATGTTGGGACTGGTCTGGGGCGAGACTATTCGATTGGTCCTCCGAAAGCACGTGGCCATAGGATGATCGTCAACTGCCATCCACTTTAAAGTTGACCTACACTTAGGGAAATAGGCTTAAGAATTTCATGAGGCTCGACTTACGAACAACACATATGAATTTCATAAGCGTGACTTATGAATGATTTTCGGGTAACATGACAACATGAGGTAGCTCTTATACGCCTTTAACCATTGCATTTTCCCAAGCGTCGAAAAACGAGTTGTCAACACACGGACCCCGTAATCCCGGCGTTCATGGTTCGGTTCCAGTAGTCTGCTCCGATTTATTATTTTTTTTGTCAACATTATTTTTCATAAGGCAAAGATTTCTTGTGACTAAAATTCATAAGTGTTTCTTATGAAATTCTTGTTCTTTTGCCTGCGTGTAAGAGACACATATCGCACGTGCCCCTCCCCCTAGGGTGGGGAGATGTTTCCCCATGTGGAAAATTATTATTGGGACTAAGTAAGTAACATATCAAAATTGAGCTTTTTTCGTTGGCATTTAGAGGTGGCGCAAGGGGTCTAAGTCCAAACTGTCGAACGATGAAATTGTGAATTGTGATAATTTTGTGAACCTGCGATATATTCACTCGTTCTCGAGATATATGGCATAGCGATGTTCCCACATATGGACTTACGCTTACATATTGATCTATCGCAATCAGCATGCTTGCAGTCAAGTTTGAGGATGGTTTACATTTCAAATTTTAAATAGAGTTGCAAACTTGTGGTTGTTCAATGCTTGATGTTACATATTTGCAAGTTGAGCAAAAGTTACTCAAATAAAAGGGTATTTCGATGATTTTGAGCCTAATATAAATTGAGCTCCCACTAGGTGTTGTCACATTGCTTAGTTGAACTGAGACAAAAATCAATTTACGTAGACACTAGACGCTGTTTGTTGTTGCAAAATGTAAAATGCTAATAGGTTTGTGCGTCTCTCTTAATACCCAAGCAACAATTCAAGCTGAACAGTAAGAGCAGAAGCTGATTATTGGTTGATTTAAGGTCTACAAAGCTGATTAAGCTGACCATGTTGCAAGAAATGCGTGGAATACCAGATCACCATCGGTCGATGGTTGTCCCCTTAATTTTTGCAAACAAGTACCACCATGTCAGTAACAATAAGAGTTTTTTCACAGATGGGTCAACTATAAACGCTTCCACTGGATTTGGTGTATTCAACTAATTTCATAGTGCCTCATATCAACTGCAAAAAGCCTGTTCCGTATACGTTGCGGAACTAGCAGCCATATTCTACGCAGTAGGGCAAATTGCCTCACTTCCATCTGATCACTATTTTATTTTTACGGATAGCCTTAGCTCGTTGGAGCTATTCGATCAATGAGACTGACGAAGCACTCCTCGTATTTCCTGACCGAAATCCGAGCTAAATTGAGTACTTTATCTAACTGCTCCTATACCATCACTTTAGTCTGGGTCCCATCTCATTGATCTATTCCGGGTAACGAGAAAGCGGACTCGATGGCTAAAGTGGGCGTTATGGAAGGCGATATTTTTGATCGACTAATCGCCTTTGCGGAATTTTTCTCAATTACCCGTCACCAACTGGCAACAAAAATAGAATGAGAGTGATCTGGGAAGATGGTTAAATTCTATTTTCCCACAGGTTTCGAACAAGCCGTGGTTCAAAGGATTGGACATGAGCCGTGACTTTATACGTGTCATGTCGAGGCATTTTTCCGTATCCCTCAGGGCCCGAGGAAAACAACCTTTGCGCCCGTTAGAGACATCTTGGCGAGCCGACATCTCGATTATTTCAATTTAATTTATGTGTTTTTAAAACGGATCGATCTGAGGATTTAGTAGTTAGTGTCATCTTGTGTTTTCTCAAGTTGCTAGGTCCCCATCGGTGTACCTCCATGTTCGTCTTTATCTCCAGTATGTCGCTTAGTTCTCGATCAAGAGCACATTGCTCGAAAAAACCTTGTGTTCTCAATCCCTACTCTGCCATCCGTTTGTTACAATTTGTTACCCCTAACCTCGAGATAGTCGCGAGTAATTGGCCCCCACTTTACTAACGTTAGTTTGTAGTAATTTTGTAACCCAAACGATGAATATCGGCTCCGCAAAGCTACGGCAAATGAGCCGGAAAAAATAAACGCATTATAAAAAAAAGTTGATTAACAGCAGGCTGAATATATACCCAAGTAACAATTCAAGCTGAACAGTAAGAACAGAAACTGATTATTGGTTGATTTAAGGTGTGCAAATCTGATTTACAGCCGGCTGAATTTATGGTTCATTAGTAGTGCATGAAGCTAATTGTATCCCCATAATTCAACTTCAATAAGTAAGCTGATCTAAAGATTGAATTACAAATATTTTGATAGCCTGATTTGTTAAATGTAGTTAGTGTCACTCCTTGCATTTCCGGCATTTTAGTTCTTCTAAATTCACTTCTCACACACATTCCACTTAAATAATTTTGGTATCCATGACAGATACGTATTTTGACTACAATGTGCAGTCTTCATCAGTGTCATTCCCACTAAAGATTTATCAAAAACCTAATCCCTGTTTCACCTAACCTGTAGTTTTATTTTTATACCTGTGATCTTGACATTTTTACCTAGGGGATGAGTACTTAAGGGGGTTAGGTTTTTATTGGGAATGACACTGATGAAGACTGCACATTGTATTTGAAATACGTATCTGTCATGGATACCAACATTATTTAAGTGAATTTAAATGGAAGATAACCCTTTTTAGCTGTTTTAAACGTGCAGTATTTTTGATTAGAGAACATCAACGAAGTTCCATTAATTAAAAAAGTAAGAGGTTGTATCGAAGACACGACCGTAGATTTGACGTAGGATTACGAAAGGTTGTTTTGATGTCACAGCAAAAGTATAGTATATATTAAACTGATTTATTAACTCGTTATGTTCTTGGAGATGATAGCGGTGCGGAAATGAAATATGTATTGAAGAAAACACATCAATAACAGAACCTGAGACTACCGGACGGTACCTAAGTTTATGCTTTTTGATGCAAATTTTAAGTCTCTTATATTAAGAGAATTCGGCAAGACTTGTTTAGACATAGTTGTCTTAATAGGAGGGGCTTAAATTTAAAACAAAAGGCATTAAGAGAGGTACGGTCTGGCATGCTCAGTGCTTGGAATCAATATTCGGCGACTGTGTTAGGGAACCACTTTTTCCATCATTGAAACGCCTCGTTTTCTGATGACAAAATTACGTATTTTTGTGTACATAGGTACAGAACTTTTGGTTTATTCAATAGATAATAAAAAAAGCGAAAATTTATTGGAGGAATTTCTTGATAAAATATTTCCAATCACAAGATTTTCACGATCAATCATATAAATTCGAGATTTTTTTGCTTTTTATAACGTCCTGGAGAAAACCTTATGAAGTGTTACGCATTTGACCACAAACGTTTGGTTGCTGGGTACATTATGAAAGAGCTTTGGGGGTGTTGACGAAGCGAATCGATCAATAGGACCTAATGCAATGTTCAGCTTGAAATGTCCAAAAAATACCGTTTTGTCGTGATGGTTGAGTAATGCTGAGTTATTAGGGTGTTCAACATGGATGAGGCTGGCGAGCTGTATGTAGTTTGAAACGAGGGTGACGCGGTTGGCATAAATGGCCCACAGCGACTCACGAAGATGGATCCCGATCAGTAGCGGTGAGGCTTCTTCCTCCTTCTTCGGTGAATGTACGCTCATGTGAGCTGCAGCTCGCTACTTGCGGGCAGCTCTTCGTTGTGTACAATGTTCAACGTCACGTGCCGAAAGCACTGCTGCTGCTGCTGCTGTTGACGACCGACCAGACACAACCACACACGATGATTGAATAAGCACCGTTCAGGGAGACAGAATTGAATTCGATTTTGAAATCTGTGTTAGGAAATGCGCTGTTTGCAGGCAATCTGTGATAGTTTTAATCACTATTGCAACAGTTGGAGATTTCTAGATAAAGCTGGAATTAGGGCGTAACAGCTTTTGTAAACAATGACTTCTCTCGATGATTTCTAGCCAAGGCTCGCTCACTCAAATCACCGTCACCATCTGTTAGGGGAAGACTTTCCCTTCCCGTTGGCTATGTTGGTTTGCGAGAAATCATCGAGAGAAGTCATTGTTTACAAAAGCTGTTACGCCCTAATCCCAGCTCTATCAAGATTTGTGTAATTTCAGTTGACCTATTGAAAATTAATAAAGTGTTCAATTTAACAAATTCGTACCAAATTTCTAATCGATTGACTTGTTTAGAATAAAAATCCATTCGCTATTGAAAGAGTTACATGTGGTCAAAACCTGACCACTTTTCGTAATGCGGTCAATTTTGGTTTTTTTGAAATTGCACTCCCAATATGTTGCCGAAAGACGTAATCCTACGTCAAAAAATGCGAGAATTAAAAGCAAGCAGTGATATTTTTAAGGAATTCCAGAGAACTTATAATAAATTTAGATACTTTTAGATAGTTTCATGATATTTAGCGAAGTTCCGAGCACTCCGAGGACGATCAGATAGCTTCAGAATCATTCCATTAACTTAAGCAAATTTTTTGAATTATGGGGTATTCCATTTCTATGATTGAAACGAAAACGTCAGAAGCGTCAGAAAATTATAAATATATATATCAGAAAATTTACCGGAATATTAAACAAATTTAGAGAACTTCAGGTAAGCGTAGATAAGTTAAGGTAAAATTAGTGAGCGTTTATAATGGTTATAATACTTAGGGAAAATTGTCGAAACTTCTAGGTAAATCAATTAATTTCAGTAAAGTTGCGGGTTCTTAAAAAATACTGATAAATTCAGGGCAGTATAGCGAACTTTAAAGAAAATCAGTAATCGTTTTGGCAGTTTTAATAACACCAGGAAAGTCTAGACTATTGTAGAAGTTTTAAATTAGTGTCGATAATTTAAGGGAAGTTTTATGAACTTCAGAAAAATCTTGAGAATTTCAGTGAACTATATTAATTATTTCGTTCTAATTCCATGAAAATTGCGGGAGCG